AAGGTCACCCTGGCTGCCAATATCAGGCCAATAAAATTCATAAGCAGCATGACAAGCACTAATAAATTTCATTGGTGCTTTCCTCTGTCATTTGAGCATGGAGTGCACTGTTATTATCACTGCACTTCAAACCTCTCATTTTGGTTGCAAATGATTGCAGCTGCAAATGCAGGCCATTGCTACGGTCCTTTTCAGTAGGCAGGTTAGGGGGAAAGTATCATATTTAAAAGACCCAATTATGATCAGAGAGAGGAGCAAGCTGTGGCCAGCGGACTTTGATCTGTTATGTAGAATGGGCTACGGAAAAAAAAAAAAGTTGGACTCCTAACAATTCATTTGCTCCCCAGTTCCAGAAAACAAGCCACTTTTGAGATCTCCTTTCTCTGCCACAGACTCGGTACTGAATTGTTTTTAGTACAGATGGGTCCTCATTAGCTGGAAAAGGGCAACGATTCATGTCTCTCACCCCAGATGAAATTCTTCAAGCTCTTCAACTCAGTCTTTCCCTCAGTGGAAGAATTTAGCATTGGATTTCTGCAAATGAGTGCACTCTGTACTTGAAGTGAGAAATGGGATTGTTTTCTTAATAGGTCTCACGCCACAACCTGTCACTGGCAGAGACCATTCCTGTTCATAGACTTCTGTTTCACTTGTTGATTTCTTTTTTTTTTCCCCTTTATTGTATTTTATTTTTTTTTTAAAGTTGTAGATTTACAATTTTTTGTGCTTTGGTTTCAATTATACAATGATCAGATACCCATCCCTCCACCAGTGCCCATTTTCCACCACCATGGGTAATATCCCTCCCACCCCCATCCCCCCATCCCCCCTGTCTCTGTGGCAGGGCAATCCCCTGTGTTCTCTCTCTCCTTTTGGGTGCTGTGGTCTGCAAAAGAGGCATTGAGTGGCAAACATGTTCAGTCCATAGTCTACTTTCGACATGCATCTCCCCTCCTGGGAGGATCCTCCAAACATCCTTTATTTGGTGCTCCCTTCTCTATCTGAGCTGCCCTTTCCTCTAGGATACCCGGCTGGCCTCTAAGTTATGGAGTAATCCTCCTGGTGCTGATCTCAGCTATTCTTGGGTATTAATCTCATACTTTGTTACTTTATATCCCCCAGATGAATGCAATCTTTCTATGTCTATCCCTCTCTTTCTGACTCATTTCGCTTAGCATGATACTTTCCATATTGTACCACTTGTATGTAAATTTCATGACGTCATCTTTTCTAACAGCTACATAGTACTCCATTGTGTAGATGTACCAAAGTTTCTTTCACTTGTTGATTTCAAGCCACATCTCTGTGTTTCTATTCTTGCATCCTTCTTAGTTTTGCGTCCTTTGTATCCTTTGAAATCAAAGTATGGCACAACTGTGAAAGCATTCCACTCAAGTTATACTTCAGCCCTTCCTGTTGTATGAGTGTGTGAAGATATCAGCAAACACATTTGACATCATGATTTACATTAATCAGTAGATTTAAGTGGGAGCAAAGCAAGACTTAGACTTCACATTCTTTCAAAATGTGCCAGACCATCACTGCCTTCTTCAGCATTTCCGGGTGGGCATTAGCTTGCTCTCTCTCTCTCCTGCACCACATTGAAGCCCTTTTAAATAGTTCATAAACGTCAGGCAAGTAGGTCTTGCTATTGTGAGATAGTTGACATATTTGTCATTATGTCAACTACAGTTAAACTGGATGAATGTCACTCCATAGTCAGATGGCCACTTTTGTTTGTTTGTTTCTTCTGTGTGGGGTCACATCCTGCCGTGCCAAGAGCTTACTCCTAGCTCTGCACTCAGGAATCTCTCCTAGCAGGGCTCAGGGGAACTTATGAGGTGACGATGATCAAACCCGAGTGCAAGGCAAGTGCCCTACCCACTGTACTATTTCTCTAACCCCTAGAGGATCACTTTCTTAGGAAGGAAGGGTGTTACCACAAAGATTATAGATAAACAGTTCATATATGTATGAACATATATACAGGGTCCATACAGTTTATAACATTGGTTCATGCAGAGCAATGGGTCGAGTATTAAAGAACTAGAATGTATCTGGGGAACATAAAGTAACAAAATAGGAGACTAACACCCAAGAATAGCCGAGATAAGTACCAGGAGGTTTACTCCATGGCTTGGAGGCCAGCCACACACGCTAGGGGGAAAGGCAGCTCAGATAGAGAAGGAAGCACCAAATAAAAGGTGTTGGGAGGATCCTCCCAGGAGGGGAGAAGCATGCTGAAAGTAGACTCTTGACCGAACATGATTGCCACTCAATGCCTCTTTTGCAAACCACAGCACCCAAAAGGAGAGAGAGAACAAAAGGGAATGCCCTGCCACAGAGGCAGGGTGGGATGGGGGGGGGGGGGGGAGGGATACTGAGATCTGTGGTGGTGGAAAATGGGCACTGTTGGAAGGATGGGCACTTGATCATTGTATAATTGAAACTCAAGCACAAAAATTTGTAAGTCTACAACTGTACCTCATGGTGTTTTACTAATAAAAATTTTTAAAAAAAAAACTAGAATGGTGGATGGTTTCATGCAGTCTCTGTAAGATGTTACTGAGAAAGTTAAATAAAGTCCTCTTTGTTCATTTGAGGAAAATAAAGGAGAGAGAATGAATGCAGGTTACCAAGATGTAGAAAAAGCAATTATCTGATGGTTCTTAAAGGCCTATGTTATCTTTAGCTAATTACATCTCAATACTCCTGTGTCTGCGACCAGCCATTGGCACGTGGGCAGAGAACGAGCGTTGTCAGGACCTGGTTGACTTCATGTGTTACATACTCTGAATGCTGCAGCAGGCTGTGACATTTGCTAGAAGGCCATAGTGCACTGCTTAGCCCAGGGCAGTGGATGGTATTTATTTTTTATTTTGCGTTATTTCAGCTGCTTTCACTTTTTTCTTCACTGTTTTCTTACCTCCTGCAGATCTTGTCTCTCTCTCTGTTTTTTTCCCCCCAAGCATCGCTGGGGAAAGGGGAACAGTCCGTTATGAACTAACTCTTTAATACACAGAGGCAGAAAGCTCTTTCCTCCTCCCTCAGCAATTCCAGTAGCTTCTAAGTCACATACTTTGAACCCACCATGATCTGAGACCACATTAGCTCTGCTTCGAAATTCTGCCTGTGTTAGCACTGACGGTCAGTTCTGAATGTTCTGTGCTTGGGTCAGAGAGATAGTGCAGAGAGTAAGGTGCTTGCTTTGCAGGAAGTTGACCAGGGTTTAATCCCCGGTTCCACATATGGTCCCCGAGAACTGATACAGGAATGATCCCTGGGTACAGAGCCAGGAGTAATCCCTAAACATTGTCAGGTATGGCCCCAAAACAACAAGGAAAGGGCCGGAGCGATAGCACAGCGGGTAGGGCGTTTGCCTTGCACGTGGCGGACCCGGGTTCCATCCCCGGCATCCCATATGTTCCCCCAAGCACCACCAGGAGTAATTCCTGAGTGCAGAGCCAGGAGTGACCCCTGAGCATTGCTGGGTGTGACCCAAAAGGAAAAAAAAACAAGGAAAAACCAAAGTTTTCCATGCCTCTATGAATGTCATAAATGCCTATGAGATTGTATAAGTAAGTTATATGCTTTTTCTTTCTCAGTTATTTTTGGGGACAAGAATTTGTGGAGGGGAGCTTAGCAATAGAATGCTTGCCTGATGTGTAGGAGGCCCTGGGTTCAATCTCTGGCATTCATTTTAAAAAATAATTTGTGTAAAAGGTAAAGGTAAAGGTAAAGGCCCTCCCGTTGATCGTCGATTTGCTCGAGCGGGCCCAGTAACGTCTCCATTAGAGACTTTGTTGTTACTGTGTCTGGCATATCCAATACTCTCGGTAGCTTGCCGGGCTCTCCAAGAGGGGCGGAGGAATCGAACTCGGGTCGGCCATGTTGGCTGCGTGCAAGGCAAATGCCCTACCGCTGTGCTATTTGTGTAAATTGTATAAAACTGTATATTTCAATAAATTTATTTTATTTATTTATTTTTTGCTTTTTGGGTCACACCCAGCAATGCACAGCGGTTACTCCTGACTTTGCACTCAGGAATTACTCCTGGCGGTGCTCAGGGACCATATGGGATGTTGGGACTCAAACCCGGGTTGGCCGTGTGCAAGGCAAACGCCTTACCTGCTGTACTATCGCTCCAGCCCCTTTAATAAATTTTAAAGAATTTATAAATTTATAAAATTAATAAAATTTTATAAATTGTCCTCGAATTGCAAAAAAAAAATGTTATTTTTTTACCAACTGATATTTGAAGAGGAATTAAGGTCTGTACTTTAACAATCAGTAGCTTTCTGACTTAAAGATTATGTTTACACCCATCTCACTTTTTTCTCCCTTCTACTGAGATAAAATCAGCATAGAATATTGTGTGAGGTTTTTGGTCTTATTTTTGAGCAGTATTCAGGAATGACTCATGGATCAGTGCTCAGGGGTTACTCTTGGCAGTGCTCAGATTGTTGAACAAGGGTCAACAACGTGCAAGCCGAGCACTTAAGCTCTTGGCCAATCTTGCATTAGTTTATAGTGTAAAACGTAATGCTTTGTTATATTAATATATTGCAGAAATAATTGCTATAATAAATTTAGTTAATACCTATCCCCTCACCGTTACCCATTTTGTCTTGTAAAAAAATAATAATTTACAAATTCTGTTTCTGGAGTTTTGGAGGATATTTTATCACAAATCAGCCAAGAAATAGAAGGAACTGTTATGTCCAAGCTCTGATGTGTTGGTTACTGTGGTTATCTATGATCTTATCTACCTAGGGAAGCTCTAAAATGCCCAGATAAATGAACTTCTGCCATACCCTCTCTCCATATGTAAACCCTCTATTCTGTAGGTAGCAAAGTATTGATGTGATCAGTAGAAGAGGCTGTATCCTCAGAGTAGTGTTCATAGGCACACGAGCATACCTGGAAAGTGAGCACATGCCTGACCTAAACTGACATAGCAAAGGACAGAGTTGCCTGACTCTTTCCCATTGACTTCACAGGATTACCTCGACTGCATTAAGGGTCAAGCGAAACTTCCTCTGGGAATGGAAGAAAGATCCGCGCTTTTTGGAAATATCCAAGATATCTACCGCTTCAATAGGTAAGTTGATGCTCAAAAGACTCGAACATGGGTTTTGCATGCTGGGATCGATGCCTGGTGCTGTATGGTTCCCTGGAACACTGCTGGAATAACCCTCCTCTTAAAACCAGTCAGAATTGGGAATAGCACCCTACCGCTACAGTGGTGCCAACCCCCCCCCCCCAAAAAAAAACAATTTTTGGAAAACCTCTAAAGATTGTTGTCATATAATAAAATTATGGTCTTGGGGCCAGAGAGATAGTACAGCAGATAGGGCTTTTGCCTTGCACGTGGCTGACCTGGGTTTGATCCCCGGCATCCCATATGGTCCCCCAAGCACCGCCAGGAGTAATTCCTGAGTGCAAAGCCAAGAGTAACCCCTGAGCATTGCTGAGTGTAACCCAAAAATCAAAGAAAAAAGGAAAAAATTGTTGTCTTATCTGACATTATTGCAGACAAGAAATTTTAACCTCTCATCCCTGATTCATCTTGCTATATTTTTGTGACTGGTGATGACATAAAGCGTACGGTGAGCATCCTTGCTCGTCTATTTTTTTTTTTCCGGGATGGGGATTGGTTTGTTTGTTTGGGTTTGTGTGTGTATGTGTGTGTAGTTTGGATGCTATGTACAGCTACGCTCAGGGGTTACTCCTGGCTCTGCACTTAGGAATTACTCCTGCCGGTGCTCAGAGGGGGACCATATGGGATGCCAGGGATGGAATCTGGGTCTTCCGCGTGCAAAGCAAACATCCTACCCACTGTCCTCTCACTTGCCCCCCACATCCTTGCTTGTCTACAAGTTTCATGTTATTCTGTATTTTGGCCCACTCCATCCTCCGACTCAGAGATAAAATCTTTTGCCCAGACAGAGCAGCATGTTCCTTCTTTAGCCCAATAGGAGCAAAACTTCCCCCAAATACCAGGGATGAGAAAAGCTCAGTGGTGGAACTGCATCCCTGGCCAAGCATATATTCTGCATGCATAGGAGCTGCAGTTCATTCCCAGTACCAAAACCAAAGAGCAGATATATGAGTGTCCACATCATTTTCACTTCTACTGGTTTTTCTTTAAAATTGTTCTATATCCTTGGGGGCTGGAGCAGCAGTACAGTGGGTGTCGTGCTTGCTTTGCACATGGCTGGCCTGGGTTTGATCCCCAGCATCCCATATGGTCCCCTTTGCCCCAACCCCAAAACCAAAGAAATATATAAAACAAAACCAAAAAAAAAATCTTCTATATCCTAGAGAATTGACAGGACACAATCACTGTCCTCCCGTTGTTCATCGATTTGCTCGAGCAGGCCCAGTAACGTCTCCATTGGAGACTTAGTTGTTACTGTGTTTGGCATATCGAATATGTCACGGGTAGCTTGCCAGGCTCTGCCGTGCAGGCGAGATACTCTCGGTAGCTTGCCGGGCTCTTCGAGAGGGGCGGAGGAATCGAACTCGGGTCGGCCATGTTGGCTGCGTGCAAGGCAAACACCCTACCGCTGTGCTATCGCTCCAGCCTGACAGGACACAATAAACACACAATATATACTTTGTCATCACATATTAAATGAATTCATTATTTGCATTTAGGTGCAGAGTGATAGCACAGCGGGTAGGACATTTGCCTTGCACGCAGCCAACCTGGGTTCGATCCTCAGCATCCCATATGATCCCCCAAGCACCACCAGGAGTAATTCCTGAGTGCAGAGCCAGGAGTAACCCCAGTGCCTCACCGGGTGTGACCTAAAAAAGCAATAAATAAATAAATAAATAAATGATTGAAGTCAAATGCAAGTATGAAGTAAGCGTTGGGGGCCATAGTTAACAAGGCAGACAGAGAGCTGACAGGAAGTGCAGGCAAATCAATTGTAATAGTATTATTACAGGTTGAGAACAGAGACCTGTTCCTGGCACGCTGAGCCATGAATACCCCCTTGGGTGAGCCTCTGAGTGGAGTAGAATCTTGCTTTGCTGCAGTTTTCCTAGCTCAGCGAAGCTTGCAGGACACCCTCACACATGCATCCCCTGCTCCAATTCTCCCGGTTCGTGCCATTTCTCTTGTCCTATGTGGTTGACTGTGGAGTGTTGTGCCTTCCTTCCTTCTTACCACCAGTTATCTCAGAACTGTTTTCTTACCCCAGTTCTTACCCCAGTTATCTCAGAACTGTCCCCAAAGCAGGGGACCACGTGCCAACTTTACTGTCCCAGTTCCCCAGAGAGCGCCTGGGTCCTCTCAAACTTCCCTGGGCTGGAGGAGTAGAAACAGAGGGATGCCTGCCTTATCGGGTACTTGAGATTTCAGTGAGCAGGCATCTCTACATGCCAGGCTCAAGGCCAGAGCAGAACAAGCACCCAGAATTCTAACATTTATGGTGAGGATAGTGAGTTTGTTCGAGTCAAACCTCAGAGTGTTTTATAGTGCCTTATTATACTAGTCAGCTAGTATGCAGACTGTAAATGCTACCACTTTTTGCTAACCCAATTGGCGTATGTGAGCTCTTTGATTGGCAAAATGCCCATCACTCCCCGGAGATGCTCAGGAGACAATTTGCAAACCCTGGGTTCCCATATGCAAAATATATGCTCCAGCCCTTTGATCCATCTCCGTAACGCCAGCACGAACCTCGCCACTGGAAAACGTGTATTAAATGACATCAACTTAGACTTTTATTTTGGTCTGTTGTTTTTTCAGTTTGGGGTATGTGTTTTGGGTGTTGGGGGGGGCACAGCATTTACACTTTGAAGTGTTTAGGAACTGATTCCAGCTCTGTGCTTGGGGATCACTCCTTGTGGTCCTTGGGAGTCGTACTGTGTTAGGAACCACACTGAGGTCCCCCACTTAAAAAACATGTGCTCCAGCTCATTCAGTATCTCGTCAGCCCTTCAGCCTTGCATCTTGAAAGCCTCCAATCATCCTCGTTGCAGCCTCTTTTGTTGTCATTATTATTCAGTGAACTATAAAAGCCAGTTTGCATGTTCCAACATAATGATTCTCAACCAGGGCTGCACACTGAAATCACCTAGGAAGCAAAAAGAAAGTTTCTTGATGAATTGTTCTGGGGTGTGCCCAGAGCACGGGAATTTTTTGGAAAGTCCTTCGATGTTTGCAGTATGCAGCCCTTGCTGAGACAGGCTGCAAGATCAGAGATTCCCAGACCTGCTTGGTCTACAGAAAACATCTTTAAACACATATGCTTTGTGGGGGTCACACCTAGGGTTTACTCCTGGAGCTGTGCTCAGGGGTCACTCCTGGCGGTGCTCAGGGGCCTTCATGTAATACCAGGGATCAAACATAGGCTGGCTGTGTGGGAGGTTGTACTGTCTCTGCAGACAGGAAATGTGCCTCCTTCCTTAAATAAATAGAAAAAGTAAAGTAAAGTAAAGGCCCTCCCGTTGATCATCGATTTGCTCGAGCGGGCCCAGTAACGTCTCCATTGGAGACTTTGTTGTTACTGTGTTTGGCATATCGAATACGTCATGGGGAGCTTGCCAGGCTCTGTCTAATTGTACCCAAGACCACTGCCACCCCCTGGATGATTTCAGCATGCCCAGCCACCCTCTAACCCTGGAAACTTGGGAAAGACAGGTCTAGATAAACCCAACAGTAAGGAAAAAGCAAGGGCATAAGAAATGTCTGTTCAGCCAGCCACACATGCTAGGGGAAAAGGGAGTTCAGACAGAGAAGGGAGCACCAAAAGGGTGTTGGAAGGATCCTCCCAGGATGGGAGAAGCATGCTGAAAGTAGACTATAGACCAAACATGATTGCCACCCGTTGCCTCTTCTGCAGACCACAGCACCCAAAAGGAGAAAGAGAACAACAGGGAATGCCCTGCCACAGAGGCAGGGTGGGATGGGGGGATGGGGGGTGGGAGGGATACTGGGATCCGTGGTGGTGGGAAATGGGCAATGGTGGAGGGATGGGTGTTTGATCATTGTATAATTGAAACCCAAGCACAAAAATTTGTAAGTCTACAACTGTACCTCATGGTGTCTCACTAATAAAAATTTTAAAAAATAAAAAATAAAAATAAATAAAGTAAAAAAATTAAAAATAAATAAAAATAAAAATAAACAAACAAAAAATAAATCACAGAGACAACAAATAAAAGAAAAACTTCCAAAAAAAAAAAAGAAATGTCTGTTCAGGAGGAGGATCTCATCATCATTCTGTAGCTCTGAATTCAGGCGTGCACTCAGTAGGAGCTAGTGATGGAGTCCCTGGCACCCCCGGAGCTTGGGCCTGCGGAGAACACCATTGCTCTGAGCCAGAGTCCAGGCTGCCTGGCTGCCGGGAGCCTGCTGACCTAAGACTTCTGGTGGTTTGGCTGCGAATCTCCGGTAATGATAGTTTATCTCGCCTGCTTCAGGCCAGAGCCAGAGGCTGTGTGTGCGTGGTCACTCTCTATGTCTCCTCTGGGCTTCTTGGACTCCAAACCTGAAGCCTTTAGCCACATTCCCTGCTGCCAGGGTAGAACTGTGCTGCCTTGGAGTGTGACTTGGTGTCATTTTCTGCGAAGGAGTTTCACTGCCTGGAGTGAAAATCTTTGGGAAAGGTTAGAATCAGGGCCAAGGTATATAGAGCATTTAGGGTGCATGATACTGCCTGGTGCACCCCAGGGTCCCCTGAGCAGTCGCCCAGGTAGTACCTGGCACAACAGGGTCCAAAGAGCTTCACAGGTTATCTGAGAACTGCTGATGGAGTCCCAGCACACTGGCAGCCCACTCCCAAACCCCCAAGAAAAGAAAGATGAGAGGCTTGAGTGATAGTACAGAGAGTAGGGCGTTTGCCTTGCACGCAGCCGACCCAGGTTTGATTCCCAGCATCCCATATGGTACCCTAAGCACCGCCAGGAGTCATTCCTGAGTGCATGATCCAGGAGTAATCGCCAGGTGTGACCCAAAAAGCAAAAAAGAAAAGGAAAGGAAAGAAAAGGGAGAGGAGAGGAGAGGAGAGGAGAGGAGAGGAGAGGAGAGGAGGGGAGGGGAGGGGAGGGGAGGGGAGGGGGGAGAGGGGAGGGGAGGGGAGGGGG